TTTTTTTTTTTTTTTTTTTAGATTTTATGAAATTTAAAGCTACAGTAGTAATAAGAGAACATAGTTATATTTATTTTATAAAGTATGATGTTGAGATCTTCTCATTTTACACAGTAACTTGGCATTCTTGTTAGACCCCTTTAAAGTTGGCTACAAGTCAAGAGTCTACAGGGCTGGGGATTTAGCTCAGTGGTTCCACTGCCTGCCTTGCAAGCACAAGGTCCCAAGTTCGATTCCCGGTACCCCCGCCCCCCTGAAGAGTCTACAGCATTAAGGTTATATCTTTTTCATTTGATTACTAATAAATGTTTTAAAATTTCAGTACACTATCTTAATAGAATAAATTTATGGTTAAGAGTTTCAAATTTTCTCTGGAGTGTCAGTAAACAGTTGTATTTATTAGAAATTGACATAAAATTTTTCTGTGATTATAAACTAAATTTTATTAGGAAATAGTATATTTCTTGGCAATTTCACATCTTTTTACCTTCAGCAAAAACCAGACCAAACCTTCTTCATGCTTAGTATTTTACATGTAAGCCTTGTGACTTGGGTATGAATTTTACTTTTGCAGACCATCAGCAGAGCCTTCATGAATGGCAGTGCACTGGAACATGTGGTAGAATTTGGCTTAGATTACCCAGAAGGCATGGCAGTGGACTGGCTGGGGAAGAACTTATACTGGGCTGACACAGGAACAAATCGAATTGAAGTGTCAAAGTTGGATGGACAGCACCGACAAGTTTTGGTTTGGAAAGATCTAGACAGCCCCAGAGCTCTAGCTCTGGATCCTGCTGAAGGGTAAATATCTTTATATATGCATTCTTTGCAGCTGCGTTGCACATTTTGAGGAATATGGCCTGAATATAGATGATATTCTTGGTGTCTTAAATGATGCTTATAAATAATCTGACAGGCAAATAATAGAGAGGCTTTTTAAAAAGATCATTTGCACTTTCACGGATTAATACTCATTATTAGCTAAATTTTACACACTATTCCACCTCCCCCAACCCGCATTTTATGAGACAAGGTTTTACTATATAGTTGACACTGGCCTTGAATTTAGCAGTCTCTGTAGTTCTGGGATTTCAGGCGCATACCACAAAGCCTGGCTAGCTAAACTTCATTTCTGTAATTGACACTAGGTGAAGACTGAAATGGATGCATAATCAAATACTACTGGTTAACATTTATACACTAAGTGAACAGCCATTTTGTGTCATTTTGAAAATAGTAGGGATTGAACTCAGGGCCTTGCTCATGCTAGGCAAACACATGAACACCTTTTAAAGCGGCCATCACCCTGTGTTTGCTGTATCCTTCCAAGTTATACTAGGTTCCAAATCTGTGCTAAAAATACACCAGTCCCCCCTCATCCACAGTTGTACTTTCCACAATTTTGGTTATCTGTGGTTTTAAAACATTAAACATTCCCAGAAATAGATTTCATAAATCTTAATAACTTTTATTTTAGTATATTGTTTTTTTCTACTTTTTGTTGTTAATCTATTACTTATTAAAGTTAAATTAATAGATTTGACTTTATCGTAGATATTTATAGGAAAAAACTATAGGATATGGTACTTTCACTGGGCATCTACTGAGGGTCTTGGACTGTATCTTCCATGGATAAGAGGAGACTGCTGTACATTTTTAAAAGCTCTCATTTTAGTTTTAATTAATTTATCAATGCATTCATTTATTTCTTTGGGTGTGCTGAGGATTGAGCCTCCAGGCCCTTGCTCACAAAAGCTCTATTTTAGAATATCCATTAATTCAGAGTGGACAGTTAGTTTGATCATTATTATAAACGTGGAGAAACTTTGGATTATGAGCTAGAACTGTTTGCAGCATGACACATTTTTAAAGGTGAGGTCTTATAAGAGTCAGTATGTTTTATATAAGGTAGCACTTAACGCATCTGAAATTTGAAGAAAAATTCTACGTTTAAAAGAAGCTGGGCTGAGGATTTAGCTCAGTGTTTCTGCTGCCTGCCTTGCAAGTGCCAGGACCCGAGTTCTATCGCCGGTACCAAAGAAAGAAAGAAAGTTAAGTGTAAATAAAATTTGCCTTATCTGTGATTTAAAAGTTTTCCCTAAAATCACCCAATGAATCCATAATTAGCTAGCTGTTCATCTAATTTAAAAGTCATTACAAAGAGGGCTTCTCTGTGCTGATACATTGTTGTGGGATTATGGTGCTATTCGCTTTGGGCATTGTCAGATAAATTTAGTAGTTGGACTAAGGACTCTAGTATAGATTGCTGCTAGCAAGTATAAAATTTCTCCCACAGTTGTTTCTCTTTGGCTCTTATGGTATGCATGTGTTTGTCAACTGACAAGTGCAAATGCAAATAAAGCCTAGAAGAACTTTAATTTTCGAAAGAGCCTGTTTATACATTGCTACCAAGTCATCCTCGGTGGATACGCTGAAGTGTAAGGGGTCTGTTCTTGGGTATTTCACTGGAGCTGGCCTGTGGAGTGCTTTCTGAGTACCAGTATTCAGCCTTGAAAATTAGCGCCTTACTAGTTTAGCTGGAAAGGCGTTTGGCTAAGGATTAGGTTCTAGTTCTAGTTCTGCCATGTAACTGGCTTGGAAACATGACACAAATAAATTTCTTTCAGTGTTTTGGTCTTTCCATCTGTAGAAAGCAGTTGGGTAGTTCTTAAGAGTAAAGGGAATGATTCAACAAAGTAAAGTAAAACCAGGAGACTATTTAAAAATCTCAGAGGTTTATAGTAGTAGTGCTCATTGCCCCATTGACACCTCAGTGCTGATTCCTGGTCCTGATTCCTGTGGTACATCCCCTGGGCCACTTGTGCAGACGCCTTTCAAGCTTTGTCCTCCACTTTGGCCTTTCAGAGGCTGTTGAGTTTTACATTTAATATACTCCTGCATTTTGCTTTTGAGGAGTGTTAGTTACCCAAGTTAAAAGTTTAAATTGCTGGTATTCCAAAGCACATAAAGATATTTTAGTCAGAAGAGTTTGAGAGTCTTAGACCACAGCTTTAATCCTTTGCTGTTTACACGAATATTAGTTTTATAAATGGCAGTTCCGCAGTAAAGAAACCCAGTACCTGGGTTTTTGGATGGAGCAAATTCATTGGAAAAGCCAAAGAAAACTGACTCACTATTTGAGATGTGAGAAAATATATTTAGTTGAAGGTGTCAAGATAATTGAAAATATTGTGACCATGATTTTGTTTTCACCATTTGCTTGATTTACTTTGTATTTTCTTTTTATTTAGTTGCTATAAATGAATACAACCCTTTCCCCCCAGAAATCAAAAGTGAAATGTTAAATATCCATTGTTTTGAATTTAGATTTATGTATTGGACTGAATGGGGTGGAAAACCCAAGATAGACAGAGCAGCTATGGATGGAAGTGAACGTACTACACTGGTTCCAAATGTAGGACGGGCCAATGGGCTGACTATTGATTATGCTAAAAGGAGGCTTTATTGGACAGACTTGGACACCAACTTAATAGAATCCTCAAATATGCTTGGTAAGCGTTACTCTTTTTTATTCAGATAGTATATTCTTTATACAGAATCTAGTGTTGGCTCTTTATCATGGGTTAGATACTATTAATGAAATTGTGAATGTCTAGTTTTTTTCCCTGTTCTGGAATTACATCATCTATATTAGTAGTTGCTGTTCAGTTACTTGGATTCATACCACTTTAGTATGCCAAAATTTCTGTTTTGTTTGGTTTGTAATGATATTTATATCCCTTGACATTCCTGAAGTGATTGTTTTTTGAATAAACAAATTGTGGAAGGAAGAAGAAATATTGAACTGTAGGTCCTTATGTAGAGGAAGTAAAAGCACAATCAAAATAGACCATTCTCAGGCATTTAAACAAACTCAGTAATTTATAGGAAGAATATGAGTTTGAAGCACAGGGCCAGACTGCAGACAGATCAATTTCAGAAGACTGGTCTGGTTTTAGAATGGCTTTTAAATGAACTGTTCTGTTTTAAATTTCTCACAAATGTAATGTTTATATGTTACAAAGTTTTTGGCCAGTAAGACGCTTGTATTTTCAAATATTTCATCTCTGTTTCTTGCTTGTCTACTGCCTTTCTGAAAACAGGACTCAATCGTGAAGTGATAGCAGATGACCTCCCTCATCCTTTTGGCTTAACGCAATACCAAGATTACATCTACTGGACTGATTGGAGCCGACGCAGCATTGAGCGAGCCAACAAAACCAGCGGCCAGAACCGCACCGTTATCCAGGGCCATCTGGACTACGTGATGGACATCCTCGTCTTCCACTCCTCACGGCAGGCAGGCTGGAACGAGTGTGCTTCCAGCAGCGGGCACTGCTCACATCTCTGCCTGGCAGTGCCGGTCGGAGGTTTTGTTTGTGGATGCCCTGCCCACTACTCCCTGAACGCTGACAACAGGACCTGTAGTGGTAAGCTGCATTTCCCTGCAGCAAGCCAGAATTGGAAGAGAAAGCAGGATTTTTTTTTGTTTTGGTACCGGGGATTGAACTCGGGACCTTGCACTAGTGAGGCAGGCGGCAGAACCACTGAGCTAAATCCCTTCTCTGAAAGCAGCATTTTAAAAGTGCTTCAATTTATGTTTTGTCTAGAGTAAAAGTAGTGAAAGTTCAGAGTTGTTCATTTGTAGAGTTAGAGAAGGGCCAAGTGATAGGGGACATTGCAAGCTTGGTCATTTATTTGATGGTAGCAGCATGATATAGAAAAGTTAAGTCTTTTACCCTTGGTCATTGAATATTTAGTGCAGAATATGCAAAGTGTCCGGGAGAGTCACTGGTGTGTTACACATAATTGATACTTAATTCATTAGGAAAGGAAAAGCAATGCAAATAGTACAACAAGAAAGAACCTCAAAATGTACCCTCCTGTCATTTAAAATGCGTAGAATACTACAAGCAGAAAACAATCGTGAATAATAAGGTCAAAAGAAAAACACACATGAAAAAATTTAACTTAACGTAAAACAGTAGTCATAGGTGGCAAACTAGACAATGCATGTGAACACAGTAGGTAGTGCTACATCATTCTTGCTGACTTTACCAGAACTTCTCACCTAGTCGTGGACCCAACTTTTTTTTTTTTTGGTCTGCAATATCTTTATTTTTAAGTGTTGACAAGTAATTCAGATTAAGCTCACACATACCTTGCTAACAAAGTGTGTAAAAGAACATTTTTGTCCAAGGGAAACCTGGCATGTGATTAAGTATGTGTGAAAACCTTTATTTTGATGGATAGATGGGAACAATTGTAGATGTAATCAAGAAACGGATGGATTAGAGTAGTCTTATGGTATGGATCAGTATGGAGAAAGTAACAAATGTGTTGTAGGATATTGGATATAATTATTGAAATGTTTTTCTGTGCCTGAGAAATGTATGAGAAACTGGATAGAAAAGGATTTAATCTATTCAAAGACTGACTTCACTTGGGAAAGAGAACATCCATAATGTTTAAGGATTAAGAAATTACACTTTAGTGTGTACCACACTTTGATTTTTTGCTTTATGAAAGCAAATAAAATTTTAAATTTCTCTTTATTGTATATTTGAGATACATAATTGTATCATAATCTTGGTGTAGTAATATGTATACGTGCTGCTGCCTTTTGTTGGGGGGGTACCGGGGATCAAACTTGGATACTTGCAGTTATTGCAAGCCAGGTGGCAGCACCACTGAGCTAAATCCCTGGTGACACACCACTTCTTGCTCAATTTTACTCCCCATGCTGCCCTCTTTTCTCCCCGTTTCCCACTTCCACAGGTCTGCTTCCCTGTTTCCTACAATCTCTTAGTTTGCTCTTTAAATTGTTAATACTTTGAGCTTCTCATACAAGAGAAATCATGTGCCATTTAGCTTTCTCTGGTTTATTTTAGTAAGCATTATAGTCTCAAGATACATCCATTTCCTACAAATTGCTCAATTTTATCCCTCTTAATGGCTAAGTAGTACTCCTTTGTGTAAACATTCCACATTTTCTTCATCCATTCATTTGTTGATGAGCATATAAGCCCCTCCCATAATTTAACCACTGTCACTTGTGCTTCTGTAAACATATTACTGTAATATGATGACTAACTCTCTTCGGAAGATAACCACTGAGTCAAATGGAATTTCTGCTTTTAGCTTTTTGAGAAATCTTCATACTGATTTCCATAGTGGTTGTACTAGTTTACATTCCCACCAACAGTGCACAAAGGGTCTTTTCCCCCCACAAGCTTGCCAGCATTTATTTTGAAGCCTTGATGATAGCCTTATTGTATTAAAGAAAGCTGAAAGATAAAAATTGGTAAAATTCTTGAAGGCATAGGCAAGGACTTCCTGTACAGAACTCCAGTTGCATAAATATTAATATCCTAAGAATCAACAAATGGGATTAAATAATATTTGAAAACTTTTGCACAGTAAAGAAAACAACTAACATGCTGAAGAGAATGTGCATATAAATGGGAAATTTTTTTGCCAGGCACTCTTCAGACAACTTAGACCGAGAATACATAGGTATGTAGAGAAATAAAAAAAATTAGACCATGATAATAAAGGACCCAATTGATAAATGGGTAGTTGAAATGAATAGACACTTCTCAAAGGAAGAAATACAAGTGCCAGTAAGTACATGAAAAATGTTTGCCATCTTTGGCCATTAGATATTCAAATCAAGTTTTTGGCTTTTTAATTTTTCTGATTTAAAAATGAGAATAATAATAGTGACTACTTCATAGGGTTGTTGTAAAGATTAAATAAGGCATGTGATCCGGTTGCTGGGAAGAAGGAATAGTGGGAACTTAACGAACAGCGTGGCTATGTAGGAAGCTTGGGCTGTGGTTGTGGGAGCAGTGATAGAGAGATGGGGGTGGATTCAATCTTTGGAGCTCGAATGAATAGAACTTCATAATGGACTCTGGAGAAAAAGAGAGGAAGCAAGGGTGACTTCTAGATGAGGTGTCATAGCAGGTGGGCAGTTAGAGGGAAGAGATGAGATGGAAGGTTTGTTTTGGAATTGCCTGGATATATTTAAAATGAGGAGGATCACCTAGGGAGAAGGTGTAGTAGAAGACCCATCACACTTTGTCTACAAAAGACCATACAGTAAATGTTTTGTGGGTGTATAGGTTCTGACACCTGCTCAGTTCCGTTCAACTTTCTATTGCAGCAAGAAATCACCTATAGACAATACAGCTTTTAAGTGGAGGTGGCCTAATTCCAGTAAAAGTTGGTTAGAGAAACAGACAGCTGGCCAGATTTAGTGCATGGGTCATAGCTTGCACTCATCTCTTGGAGTCTATAGAGGACACTAGGAAGTGTTTAAGAAGAAAAGCGGGAGAATTGAGGCCCAGAGAGAGAGGTTGTTTCAAACTGTGGACTGCTGCTGAGAAGTGAGTGAGATGAGGTCTCAAATTATATTGGTTGGAGTTTGGGGTGAGGTAGTTGTTAGTAACCCTAAAGAGAGTAATTTCAGAGATAAAAGGCAGATTGGAGAAAGGGAAAGGGCAATTGTATATGTGGATGTCTCTGTCAAGTGGTTCCGCCTTGAATGGATAGAGAAAATGGAGTAATGACTGATGCAGGATAGAGACAGAATGCGGAAAGACCTTTTGAAGTCATTACTCTCTTAGCTGTGTTTGCTCAGGCTTGATGGTGGGTGAGTGAAGGCCATGGGAAAGTCACTGCTGAGGGTCCCTGGTAGCAGTCTGCCGACTGCCTTTCTCAGCTTCAGCTGCTGCTTCTGTGTTGTTTTTTTTTATAGTGAGTACTATTTAACATCTGTGTAAAATGTATTAAATTCCATGGCACATTATGTGAGATTTAACAAAATTCTTGCTCTCAAGTTTTCTCACATTGTATAATTTGTCCTTTGACCTGTTTTTAAAAGCTCAGTCAAACAATCTTTTTTCTGTGCTCAAACTTTGCAGTTGTCTCCATCTCACACAGAGTAAAAAACTTGCTCTTCTAAGACCTGCAGGGCCTAACATGATCTCTACTCATCACTTTGTAACCTTTTCTCCACCCTCCTCCTTCATTTCCTCCTTACTTTGCTCTCTCCCTGCTTTTCTCTGTAACAGACACACATTCAGATATGCCAATCACTTCCTACTCAGGACTGTTGTACTACTTGTTTCCTCTGGTCGGGATGTTTTCCCTGGACATATTGTGTGAATATTTTTCACCTCGAAGTCTTTGCTTCATTGTGACCTTTGTAGTAAGACCTGGTCTGCGCTATTTAAAATTACAAATGATTCTTCTACCCTGTCTACATTGCCAGTGCTCCTAACCTGTGATTTTTCTTCCCACAGTACTTACACCTTTTGTTTACTATATAGTCTACTGTTTATATAACTTCCTTCTTATATTTCTTGCTTACTGCGCATTTGAATATAAACTTGGTGAAGCAGCAGTTTTTTGTTTTCTTCACTAATGTATATTAGGTGCTAGACTGATGTTTATGGTACATGGTAGGCCCTCAAATTATTAAAATGTTAAATGAGTGCAGAAACAGAATGTTCTCGAAAGCCATTTGTACTTTCCAACTCAGCAGCTCTGTGACCTTGGAAAAGTCATTTAACCTCTGTGGGCCTCAGTTTGTTCACCTATAAAATGGAGGGTAACATCAAGTGTGAAATGTAACATACTGGAGGTCGTCAGCAAATGTTTGCTTCTTTTTCTTCCCTCTCAAATACTTTTATTTTCTTATTTACAAGCTCAAAGTTACAAGGCCCTTCTTGTCATCCAGTACTTATCTTTTCATTCATTGTTTCAGTGAGTATTTATTGAACACCTGCTACGGACGGCATTATTTTAGCCACTGGGAAATAAAACAGCAAATGGAATAGACATAAATCCCTGTCCTCATAGAGCTTCCATTCTATTGGCGCAGATAATGAGCTAAATAAACTATGTCAGAATTAGATGGTGATAAATATACTGAAATACTAAGCACAAAAGGTGATCATGTAGTGATGCAATATTAAATAGGGTGATTAAGGAAGTCCTCACTGAAGAAGGTGAGGAAATAAGCTAGGGGATATCTGGGACAAGATCTAGCAAGGAAAAGGGGACAGCAAACACAGAAGCCCTATGGGAAATATGTCTGACTTGTTATAAAACCTAGGAAGTGGCCTCTTTGACACCTTTGTGCAAATTGGGAAAAGATGTTCTCATTGGCAGATTTAATTCTCCAGATGCATGGCTTGACTACTGAAGTGTGGGTCAGAGTTCAGTCCCCTGCCCAGTGCCATTGGTTCCATGCACAAATGGCCCAGTTAAACATGATGGGCTTGGCCTTGTAGTTTCCTCTTACCAGGAGCCACATCTTCCTTTAAGTTACAGGTAGACAGTTGTGCCCTCAGGTTGGCCGAAAAGCTCCCCGCTACTCAACACTTTGGAGTTCTGCATGTTGCTCTCTTCACTGTGAGAATGTAAGGCTCTGGATAACCTGTTGACACGGTTTTTAAAGCATCATTCTGTAAGAGATGTGGGCATTGTTAGAGGTCACATAAATTGGATAGATGGATTTAAGCTTTTAAAATGGCAGATTTTATGTCATTATAAGCACTAATGAAATTAAATAAATCATAATTTCACCTTCCTCATAGAAATACCAACCAAGCCTTTTGTAATTGTTATTGTCTTTGAGTATTCTTTTTGGAACCAACATTGGTTTGTAGACACATTTGCCTTTATTTTAATCCGTAGTTTTAGAACAACAAGGTCTATACCCAATTGTGGAATCTTGTTGAAAGTTAAAACTTGACTTGGACAAAAAGGCTATCCAGCACAGTATAATAGGAGCCAACTACATTTGTGATTGCTTTCCAGATAGGAAAATTTGGGAACGAAAACACCAGAGTGTCTAGGCTGAATATATTGTTTAGTGGTAGTAGCACTTGTCTTGCAGTGCAGGACGTCCGAGGTTCAATTCCCAGCAGAGGGGAAAACAAATAATTAAGTCTAGGGATCCTTCCTCTGAGCCTCATTGTGTACCTTAATATGAGTGGTGTTTATTCTGTTGGAAATTTAGAATTTAAAGTCCTTTCTCTTCCCTCCCTCCCTCCTTCCTTTCCTCCTTTCCCTTTTCTTCCCTTCCCTCTCTCCTTTCCCTTTTCTTCCTTCTACTGAGAAAGTAGTATTGCCAGTAACAGTTCTTTAGAAAATGTGGAGAGGCTTTTTACCTACTGTGTGAAGTGTGTTCTTAAGGTGTGTCCTATACTGAAATTGCTAAAAGTTGTTGAATTAATATGTGATGGATAACGGAGATTTCTAAAAGATTATCCCAAGCAGGGTGTGGGCTATTAACTCTGAAAAAAAAACCCCCACAAATTCCAGTGTTGTAAATGCCAAGTTTCTGTGTGCGTGCCAGTGAGTATTTTTTTGGGATTTAAGCCAGTGTACACTTGGGTGTAAATGTAAAGGAGACTGGATACTCCAAGCAGTAGGGCTGTGAAGAGAAGGGATGAGGGAAAAGTAAGCAAGGCTGTTGGGCTTGGCTATTTGTTTATATCACTGAGGGGGACAGGCTTCTTCTGGATTCAGATAATGACTGAGTACCCAGAGGAGAGTATTGCTTCATCTAAAATCCATGGATTCAGTTACCATACCAACAGTCAGTTACTAGCTGGAAATATTACATAGAAAATTCCAGAAGTGATTTCATAAGTTGTAAGTTGAGTGTAGCTCTGCATAGCATGATGAACTCTGGCTGAGATATGAGTTTTCCCTTTGTACCGCGTGTGCGTGCTATTCATGCCACCTGCCCGAGGTGCTTAGTGCCTGCCTGTGTGATCAGCTGTCATGGTGCCTCAGTGCTTCTGTTCAGGTAATGCTTATTTTGCTTAGTAATGGCCCCAAAGCACAAGAGTAGTGATGCTGGCCATTTTATTACAGTATTATTATAATTATTCAATTTTATTATTAATTATTGTTGCTTTCAGGTGCAGTTCTATGATAGATGCTTTCCAGTATTAAAGGTGACTAGGGATGAGAGGTCCAATCCCTGGGAGAAGGAAGTGTTGTCTGAGATGCCATTTCTCATTTAATGAATTTAGAGCATCAATTTAGCATCAAAGCAGTTTTGTTTTTAAGTGAAAGTACAAGCTTTGCTTTGAGTGTTAGAGACACTGGTCTGGTAATTTTTATCTCCTTCCTCTCCCTGCATCTATCACATGTCCACAAAGCCCACGCCTTTAATCCCAGCTCTCTGGAAGATTGAGTTAAGTGTATCATAAGTTCAAGTTTAGCCTGCACAATTTGGTCCTGTATTAAAAAAGGAAGGGTGGGGACTAGGATGCAGCTTAATGTGGGGGTGGGGGGCTTGTGTTCAATCTGCAGTACCACCCTCTTGCCCAAAAGAAGCAAAATAAAGTCTGTATCTGCAGTTTATTAGGGTTTGTTTAGTTCCTGTTAATGTTAAGCTTATTACTGTTACTCCTGATAACAGTGATAATAATAAACAATAGTTATTTTCATTTTACATTCTAAGAATTCCTTAGTTTTTAAAGTATTTTCATGTAAGTTGTAAAATTCTTACAGCAACTCAACAAAGGGGATAAGATGGTTATTTTATTTTACAGTTGGATAACTTGTTTCAGATAGGATTAGCGAAAAGGTCAAATGACTAGATAGTGAGAAATCTGACTGTGAAACTAGTTTTGAGGTTTCTGCTTTGACCTATGAAGGCCCAGGATACTTACCACCTACCACACACAAGAATAGCTTATGGAGGAAGAGTAGGACAGTTTTGTATGTCTGTATCATGTGGTTCATTGGTATCTCAGTGCAAGATGGAGAAAAATATGACTCTGTCACTAGGTATATGGTAACCGATCAGTGTCGACCTGAAGAGTGTTCCTGGGGACATAGACTCTGTCCTCAGCCTTACTGTGTCTAGGAGGTACATGAACCAGCAGGTCAAATCTTGGTGTGAAACTTACAGTAACTATGTTTCAGATGTACTCTTTTCTTTCTTTAAGCTCCTACCACTTTCCTGCTCTTCAGTCAGAAGAGTGCCATCAACCGCATGGTGATTGATGAACAACAGAGTCCTGACATCATTCTTCCTATCCATAGCCTTCGGAATGTCCGGGCCATTGACTATGACCCACTGGACAAACAGCTCTACTGGATTGACTCACGACAAAACATGATCCGAAAGGCACAAGAAGATGGCAGCCAGGTAATTCTAGGCTCAGTTCAAAACCCATTTCATTTCTTATGACCTGCCATCCAGCCATCCTGTTTTATTTGACTCCGTGTGTGCATCTGACTAAAATTCTTAACTGATGATCTTATCTCTGTGTAAACAATTATTCAGCAATGGCACCAGATGAAAATTGTACTAGGTTAACTTCCTGGTAATGACTTTGCACTGCCACCCACATTCACCTTTTTCCTTATGGTTCCGCCTGTGTGGAGTTTTAGAGGTAGTGAAATCAGATAGGCCTCAGTCCTGATTCCAGCTCTTGGACACTGCCTTTTATGAACTTGTTTTAGCTGATAGGAATTCAGAGCACATTGCCCTAACCTGTTAAATGTAGGGACTTGGTAAATAACAGCTACAGGACTGATTACCTATTACATTAGTTCAAAGGTATTTAGAACATAGGAAATATATAATACAATATCACTTTTTAAAAACTGGGGGTGGGGGGGCAGGTGTATGGCATTACTGGGGCCTTTGCACTGAGTTGCATCCCTAGCCCTTTTTCTTTGTGGTTTTGGGTTTTTGAGATACAGTCTTGCTATGTAGTACAGCCTCAACTTGAACTTGCCACATAGCCCAGGCTTGCCTCAAACTCACAGTGGTCTTCTTGCCTCAACCTCCTGAGTTCTGGGATTATAGGCTTGTATCACCATGCCTAGCACCAGCCTTTTTTATATTTTATTTCGAGGTTGGGTCTTATTAAATTGCCCAGGCTGGGCTCAAACTTGCCATCCTCCTGCTTCTGCCTCCCAGGGAGCTGAGGTTACTGGTGTATGCCACCACACCTAGCTACAGTCTCAGTAAAATTAAAAACATCTAGGAGTTGTTGGACCAGTAATTTTTTTTGATAAATACTGTTTGGAGACTATGGGATGGGAACGAGATACTGTCAGTCTCTGTATTCCTACATACCAGTCATGGATTTACACACCACTATTCACTCTTGGTTTCTTTCTGTGGCCAGGCAGCATTACACTGGGATTATAATAAATATCTGTCATCTTCCTAATAGTAGTGATATGTTAAGTTGGATTTTGAATGTGTTAAATGGAGTTTGAATATACATTGTAGTGATTTTCACAGGGCTATCTAGGGTGGAGTCTTAACTTCTGTGTGTTTTTATTTTTTTCCCTTAGGGCTTTACTGTGGTGGTGAGCTCAGTTCCAAACCAAAACCTAGAAATACAACCCTATGATCTCAGCATTGACATTTACAGCCGCTATATCTACTGGACTTGCGAGGCTACCAATGTCATTAATGTGACAAGATTAGACGGGAGACCAATTGGGGTGGTCCTGAAAGGCGATCAAGACCGACCCCGAGCCATTGTGGTTAATCCGGAGAAGGGGTACGTTGTGACATGGCCTTTAGAGACTGCGTCAGAGATGCTCCTCCGCCTTCCCCTCAGCCCGTTACGCACTTACCCTTCTATGTCTTGTTCTTCAGTGAACAACTCAATATCCTGTATTCGCTTGTGCCTGCATTTTATTTTAGCTTTCTCTTGGTTTCAGTGCCTAGAATTTCCTTCCTTAGTTTAGTTCTAAACCTCAGCATACCTCCATAGCATTTTAACTGTCATGTCCTCCATGAAATTTTCCCGGCCTCCACCATCCAGATGTGATTTTCTCTTCTCCTGGATCTCAGTGCTCTGTATCTGTACCTCTCAGTCATATTTCATCTTTTCCAGATTCCCTTATCCTGAAGCATTTTTCACCCATGTATTTTTTACCAGACCTTAGGTGCCTTTATAACAAGAACTAATACTTTTGTTCATTTAATACAAAGCTTTGCATTTAATACATTCAGTACTCCATTGGATCTGAATGAATGATAAAAGAATTCAGCAGGGAAAATGACTTACTTCAGAAGAGTTATAGGGAAGGGGTGAAACTTACCAGTTAAGTCTATGAAATGATTTATATATGACCTAGTTTTAGGTAATAAATAGAAAGGGAACTTAAAATTTGATGTCCAGGTCTCTATAGCCATTGAACTTGTTTATTGTGTTATTCTGAATGTATAGATGTTTTTGTCTTAACACCATTATATTAATCTCTGAAAGCTCCCTGAGAATTGTGTACCCGTGTTATTGTTATTGAAAATAGTAAAAAGTTTTCATGACCTTTCTAAGAAATAGATTTTTAAGGGAGAAAAAGGAATGGCGAAAGTTTTTCAGTGAGTATTAAGTTGCAGTTAGGAGTAAGTTCAGATTTGCTGTTGCTCAGTAAGATGATTATAGTGATTGGCACTGTGTATTTTAAAACCTAGAAGAAGGGGTTTTGGCTGTTTTCTCCATAAAGCTGATGAATGCTTGAAGAGATACAGGTAGATATGCAGTATATACATGTATTAAAACATGTTACCCCATCAATATGTACATTTTTTGTGTTTTTGTTTATCTGTTAAGAATAAATTACAAAATACATTTTAAAGCCAAGGATATAGGTCAGTGGTGCCGCACTGGGAAAGTGCAAGGTCCAGAGTTTGATATTTATATTTAAAGCATTTTAAAATGAGATTTTAAAATACTATTTTACTGCCATTTATTATTTTTTTTAAGTGAGCTGGGGATGGAACTTGGGGCCTTGCACCTGCTAGGCACATGTTCTACCTCTTTTTTTTTTTTTTTTTTTTA